GGAATGACACCCCTTTCCAGCGCTCCTCTGAAGTGATGGTACGGTTCGTTACTCTTATACTCTTCGGGCTCTTCGTCTTCATATTCACTGTCGGACTCGATCTGATCGCCGGCGAAGATCTTTATCTCCTCTTTTGGAGAACTCTTCTCTTCTTTAAACTCTTTAGACTTAATCCAAATCACGTTTAAATCGTCGCGATTTCTGTTCCCATTTTCGTTGTCCTCTTCAATAGGCTTTACCTTCTCTTTCTTGGGATCCTTTTTCTTCTTCTGATTGTCCTTTTGATTAGCCATTCGACGACTATATGAAGACTTCTTCACTTTGAAGACATCGCACTCTGAATACAAATAAAACAAACGCTTTAATAAAACAAGACATTAGACAACCATTTCATCAATAAATACCTTCTTCTTCGTCGTCAAAGAAACTGATTTTAGGAATGTCTTTGACTTTGGCTTTAGTTTCGGACTTAATGTCCAAATCTCTGTCAAACTTATCGTTAGATTTGTTTGAGTTTTCATTATTTAACTCTAATTTAGTACTAATTTTCAAATTGTCTTCAAATCGACTCAAATGAGGACCACTTGAATGCTTGTTGTCTTCGTCCGAGTCATCACATCTGGTCCTTTGGTTGGATTTCTGGTGCGATTTGCGGTTAGACTTCTTGAACAGAGACATGATATGTGTGTCGCCGACAAAGACATGAAACAAATGGCGGCCAATAAGTGGACAATAAGTGACAATCAAATGGATGTCTTCATCCAAGACATGAAGCGATGAGAAAACGACACAATTTTGTTGTGTTTTGAATGAAATGTTGTCTTAATGTGAGACCAGATGTCAGTCATGTGTTGTCCTAACAGAGAGTGAGTGACAAATGAGAGGACAATGGATGACAACGAGTCGATTGTGATGGAGAAGTTGGAGTGTCTTAAGGAGATCAGGTCTGCCCATGCCATTCATTGTCACACAATTGCCACTCATTGCCACCGATTGTCAGTCACTGTATTGTCCATCGGATCAGCGCTTCACTCATATATGCATTCATTGCATATGTGTTTGAATTGCTATTCAAAGCCCTTAAGACCTTAAGACCTGTTCCCATATATTATACACTTTAACACCTGTTTATGGGTTGAGAGGGAGGGCTGGGGTTGTGTCGGGTCGGCGTCACTGCCATCGCTGTACGACATGATAGGGAGGGATGGGGTTTGGTATTGATGACCATCGATGGCTTTCCAAGAGTTTCTATACGATAACGTTTAAAGTGTTTTAATTTAATAATTGAATCCAATATCTATGACTTGTGTCCACCAGAACCCGAACTCTTCAGTTGGAGAAACTGAAGACTCGCCTGAAGTCGGAGGTGGAGTCGACGGAGACGGAGGAGCGATGTCTTAACGAATATCGTCGCGAAATGGAACTCTTGATTCAGGAGAAGATGGCTCACGTGGAAGAGCTGAGACAAATACACGCAGACATCAACGCCATGGAGAATGTGGTGAAACAGGGAGAGGAGGACCGGAACCGACACCTGGAGAACGCCAAACACTTGCATCAGGAGTTCCAGCCGTTGAAGGATCTGATCGATAAGCTCCGGTCGGACATCGGTTTACCCCGACTGCCGGAACTGCACGAAGAGAGCGACAAATTTAAGCCCGAATTCTTCGACAAACAGAAGTTAGAGTGGCATCAGATGTGCGCCGAAGCCAACGAACAGGTGATGCCTCAGCAGCTGATGGCCGCCACCGCACAGCACGCCATGCATTTGGCGGCCACTCGTGCCAAACAGCCATCGATGGCCGTCAATGTGCAGAACCAGCCGCAGCCACAACACCACCAAACTATGAACCCGTCTCAACCCGAACGCCCGACTCCGGCCTCTTTCCGTCAACAGCCGCCGCCCATGAAGTCGTGTCTCTCATGTCATCAGCAGATCCATCGAAACGCTCCCATTTGTCCGCTCTGTAAAGCCAAGAGTCGTTCCCGTAATCCCAAGAAACCCAAACGTAAACTCGAAGATTGATCTCAAATGAATGGCTCATCTTATCGATGGATAAGACTTCTACAAACCATTTGATGTGTTTTCTTACTAAATATTATCTCATTCTCTAATCTCTTACTTAATTTTAATATTATTTTTACATTTAAAGCAATTTTGTGCCAAATCTTTTGAAACTACTTAAAAGTCATGTTTTTTAATCATTTTAATCGATAAAATTCATTCAATCATTTGTCGTAGAATTATATCTGTTGTGATTGTGATGTGTTTTGACAGCTATTTCGGCCAAATGTATGCCATAATAATGTGTAATCTTTTCAGACAATAAATAATACCAATTATTTATTAGTTTTAAAATTATAATAACCCATTTATTATAAACTATTTACCGTTTATTTATTTTAATAACAATTAAAACTGTAATATTTGACTCTTTGAGCTTTACTGGTGTTCAATAATAATCTAATTATCATTGCTTTAAGTCTAACAATCGTAAGGATATTTTTGGGAGACGTTATGTTTTATAAATGAATTGATATAAAAGTAATGAATGGCAAATATGGGACAAACCATTCAATTACTGTACAATTCATTCAATCAATTATCGTCTAAAGAGACTCCGAGTTAGACATAATTTATTTGATTACCATTTGATGTGTTTTCTTACTAAATATTATCTCATTCTCTAATCTCTACTAAATTTTAATATTATTTTTACATTTAAAGCAATTTTGTGCCAAATCTTTTGAAACTACTTAAAAGTCATGTTTTAATAATCATTTTAATCGATAAAATTCATTCAATCATTTGTCGTATAATTATATCTGTTGTGATTGTGATGTGTTTTGACAGCTATTTCGGCCAAATGTATGCCATAATAATGTGTAATCTTTTCAGACAATAAATAATACCAATTATTTATTTGTTTTAAAATTATAATAAACCATTTATTATAAACTATTTACCGATTATTTATTTTAATAACAATTAAAACTGTAATATTTGACTCTTTGAGCTTTACTGGTGTTCAATAATAATCTAATTATCATTGCTTTAAGTCTAACAATCGTAAGGATATTTTTTGGGAGACGTTTACAAAATATTTACTTAACTATATTTTCATTACTTACCGTTTATACCCTGTTTGGTAAGTTAATGACATGTTAAGTAAGTTAGTTAATAGCAGATTTCTCTGAGGCTCAATCTGTATTAAATAAACTATTGAGTTTAAGTCACGCCATATGTATGTTAAGCTAAGGGATGAAACAACTGAAACATTTGCTCAAAATTTATTGAATCAATGGTTAGAAATCGTTTGCAAAAAAGAAACAAAAGTCTGACACAAAAGTATTATAAATCCTTAAGAGTTATGATCGAAAACGACTCCAAATGTAGTGTATATACAGGACTAACAGTTATTATCGAGAAATTTGTTTGGGGTTTGGTTTGAGAACTTAAATATAAAAGTATAAGAAATAGAAAAATGGTTTTGTTTTAAAACTTTGAGATGAATGGCTCGCGTGACCGGACATGAAATACTGTAAAAGGCTGTCATTTCAACTGTTGTTCCCATAACTGATGTCCATTTGATATCTAATAAATTATTATTAAATCTGCAAACAATTTCAAACATATAAAAGGCATAAAAATACTTCATATTTGGAAAATCTTTGGAATTTGATTGTGAAATATGTTTGAGAGAGAAAAAAAAATCTATATTTGAGTTGTATTGCAAATAACTATGAATTTCTTGAATAAGGGTCTCCTCTCTATTGAATGGTTGAAACGCTAGAAATTACTACGAAATCCTAAAGATGTAAATCATTAGAAACAATGGATAAACACATTGTAGTTCTCAGTTCATGGCATATAGAATGGCAAATGATATAGTGATGTAGGGTTGCCAGAGAATATTTTGCAAATCCTGAATAAATGCACAAATTCTGCCTAAAATTCCTGAATTTCATTTTTTAAAATTAAATTTACTTAAAATTTGTACAATTTAAAAGTCTTACTTTTGCGAAAATTTGAATGCTTTTACAATATATTTATAAATGAATTAATTAAGTATAAAAAGATTATAGAAATGATTTCTAGAAATAGTCCAGAATTTGGGTACACAATAGTGGGTATACAGAACTGTTATTATAAACAAATCTGAATATTTAATGTGTTTACAGTTTTTTTTGCTAAAATATTTATTCCTGTATTTTCAATGTACAGGAATGACATCCTCTTGTACTCTGCAAATTGCACCCTTAATTCCTGTACTTCTGGCGACGCTATAGCGATGAAATCTTTAGTTGAACTGCTATTTAATGTGATGTGTAGTAACAATCATACAATCATATCGTAAATTAAAAAAAAAAAACAATTCACGGCTTATTGTAATTCAAGAATTGAATGAATGAAACGGAAATTTTTATTCTTATATTTCTTGTTTTTCTCATTCAATTCTTTGTATAATTCCTTTCATTTCTTTGTTTATTTCATTTCTGAGACTCTTTTGGAGGAAAAGGGATCAGAAATAAAGCGTTTGAAACCAAATGAAAATTTCAAAGCCATTGTTTGCAACTTTATTAATGATTCATTAATTTTGATTAATAAATATTTTTTGATATCGTTTGTATTAATTAAGGAAACGTTGCTTTTAATTACAATATTATATAAATACAAAACAATGTTATTTACTTTTTCTGAAATTCAGATATGTTTTAAAAGATAATTTTGCATTAATTTTCAATTATTTTCTAACAAATTTTTAAATAAATATTTTATATGCACTTCTTATTTAAATAACTTTCATTGATTAACTTATTTAAAAAACAATCAATCATTTAATATTTTATACAATTTATTAATTATTATTAATTGGATTTAATCGAGTGTTGAGAGAGTCCTTTGATAGAGATATGAATAACAAATGTTAACTTTTCTCAAAATATAACATTAAATGCCATAGAAATTTAAAGTGTACATGTAAAACCAGTATTAATACCTAAATTACAGAAGTTAAATCCTAGCACCTAGGTGTTTTACTACTTACGATAGTAATTAATCGCCAGTAATTGTATTATGTCTGAACTCTGTATATTTCGTTTATTTCTAAATTCAGAATTAATAATTGCTTTTATACATTGTAGAATATCATCTTTTCATGACTTTTATTTGTGTGTAAAACTATCAATGAATGTATCATAACATGTGTGTACGAGAATGAACGCAATTTAAACTATACTTAAAAATGATCAAAATCAAAATTACGTAAAATAATAAGTGAAAATGTAGTGAATGTAGTGAATGGTATCCATTTCTATCTTTCTTACAAAAGCTTAAACTTCTTGTTGTTAGTACTTTCGCATCACTCGATAAAACCATTAATTATATACAACTTTTGAATTAAAAACATCTCCAAACCATACAAACTGTTTAAAATCGATCCGAAAATTTGTAA